CTTGTCCAAAACCATCCCGAACTGTCTCAACGGCATTAAAGGTAACTTGCAATTCCAACGGTTCTTGAGGAAGTGACGGGAAAAGATGTGCTAGTTAGATGAGTTGTATAAATATTAAATAAGCAATAAAAATGTTTATTACAGTCTTATTTATTTGTGACTGTAATTTATTTTTTGGTTGGATGACTCAATTTTCCCCATCTCTAATTTTTTATGGATATTTTCCTTAATGTATATTAATTTTTCACAGAAACAGAAATTATATCAAAGTTCTGATGAAATCATTTTCGGGCAAAGAACATTAAAACGATATTCGAATAAATATGATAGTACATTAGAACAATCTTGGCAAACGCCGCTTTAAAAAGTATCAATCCACATTTGCACGAATGGAACAGAAATAGTATTTCCTTAAGCAGTAACCTTTAATGCAAAAAGATTAATTTACAGCGGGTGTCGATTAAAACAGATCAATACACGCACGGGGAAAGAAAAAAATTACAGAAAGCGCATGAATTTTACGAAAATTTATTAGTTATTTAGTATAAGAAATCTAATACCAAACTAGTAAAGTGCTTGATAGACTAATTACGACACTGTTGGCAAGACTTATTTGTTTAAAGGCAATAGATCTCGCTAATAGTCAGGAAGTCTTAGAAGGATTTTACGTAAAACTAAGCCTCAGTTATACATGGGAAAAAAACAGAATGATAGGGGTTTGAAAGAGTAATTAAATTACTCTAAAATTATCTCACACAAACAAACTTCAGCAGGAAGACTTCATATTTTACACACATCCCCCCAACATACACACACACACAAAAAAAAAAAAAAAAAAAAAAACATAAATTAAAATAGTAGAGGCACGGCGTTTATATTTTTTTTTTTTTTTTTTATCTACCATGCAAAAGCACGCGAGGGTTTCTAAGGAGAGTGACGCCTTCTTAAGAAAAGTGCTTTCCTTTCCTTTTCCCACTATTGTCGTGTGTAGCTTGCAGATAGCAAGTTGTATACCGGCTGTCATGAATTAATAAGTACATTGCAGGAATAGCAAATGCGAAAAGTGCCTTAAGTTCATACTTCTTATATTAATAAATTATGTATGACTTTAGATATGCTGGTCACTTCAAAAGATTGATTAATAACGCTTTTGATTTAAACTGAAATTAATACAACAATTAAATATAGATAATTGATTTTAAACAAAAGGCGAGTTTCTGTTTGCTTTACGACCTGAAAACAAATCGAAAAAAAAAAAATAATAATAATAATAATAATAAATTGGACATAAATGTATCTATATAAAATAAAGGAATCCATCACGTAGAATATTTCATATTTATTTACAGATAATTTAAATTTTAAAGTCTTGCTGATAATCTTTTATTCCTTTAAAACAATCTGCGGCTTCAAGGGAAAGGAAAACAGAATTCCTACCTTCTAATGCGACATTTTTATATATACATTTACCCCATTAAAGAAAATAATTCCTTTCCCCTTCTCGTCGCTTTCAACCATAACACTGTCTATTGGACTGTGATCTGGATTACAGCTGCGTTGCATCAAGCAACGAGAGAGCCTTTCTTTCAGTTCTAACGTACTATTTTCATAGTTCTTTCAGGAAATAAAAATATATTTCGCAGCGGAAGCTGCACTATTTGCAGTGGCGCTTTCTTTTTAGCTCGACATGCACTATTTTTCAGCTCACCATGTGCATGCGTTTTAAATTTATTGCATTATTTTTATAAATCTTTCCCACTACTTGTAAGGTATTATTTTCAAAATACATTTATAAAATCTGTATAGCTTCCCACATGATATACGCGGAATGGTCTAGAACTTAATATTCACTTTCACAATAAAAAGTTTAGAGATTAAATTAAAAAAATGTTTACATGAAAAATAGCTAAAAATTTTTGTTGAAGAAATATATTTTACCAAAAATTTAATCTCTGATAATAAAACGGTTTTTAAATAATAAAGGATAGCGACATCTTGTGTGAACTAAATGAATATGGGATGAAATTCTGCGATTAAATTTCCGCATAACTTGCTTGAAAAGTGTGAACGTAACAAATACTTTCATTAGAGTGAGGACTACCTATTTGGATGCCATAATGATGATTTCTTAACATGAACTAGCTCCTATTCTTGTCACACGAAAACACCTATGCATTCAATCCCGTTATCTGGATACGAACCGAATCGAACCATCCGTGTTCAGTGGTCTTACCCACTGGCGGACCGATGCCAAATTTGATACAGAAGCCAGTTGATTCGTATGCACACACACACACACACACACACACACACACACACACACACACACACACACACAAAAAAAAAAAACCCATTAAATGATTCAATAAATACTGAAGAGGCAAAATAATTTACTAAAAAAAAAAAAAAAAAAAAAAAAAACTATGTGGGGTAACTTCGAGGACTATTTTCTAAAAGCAAATCAGTTATATTTCTATCACAGGAGAGATAATTAATGAAAGCCATGTCGGGGATTGAAACGAAATGCGAATACCATTGTTAGTGATTTAACCTTTCGGTTGCTGGGGTAAAAACTGCAGTGAAAAACATCACTAAAATCAATTTGATATTTTAAAAATGGGCATTTAATTTCGGTGAAAATTGAATAACAATTTTTATGGTCGAAATGCTAACATTCGCCATAAATTATGCTAATCATTTTATACAGCCAATCATGCAGATGAAAACTGAAAATTTATTCAGGAGGGGCACGCACTATGAATTTTCTCTCTCATCTTCAGCTCTAAAGAAAAACTCAGTTATTTTACTGTAAATTAAATTAACAAAATCGACGGGGGCACTTTTTTTCGTTTCTTGAAGTAAAAATTATTAAAACATTTTCAATTTGAAAATTTATTTTGGCAGGCGATATAACTAAGAAATAATGATAGTGATAAAAAAATATTGTAACAGAAACAAGATGGAACATGTAGTTTTAAGCAATTATCTGAAATTATTTCTACATAATTAATAATAATTACGAATTTAAATTATAAAATGAAATATTTATCCACAGCATCTAAATCCCATCTGCCAGAATGTCGGTATAGGCAGTTATAAACTACAGAATTCTCAATTCAGAGTTAAACTCAAAAATACTTCATACCGTTGATTTTATCAGGAAAGCTGTTAACTTCAGTTGCCCTTCAGGATTTACTAGTTTTTTTTTTTTTTTTTTTTTTTTTTTTTACGATATTACCCATCGTAGAAAAATTACGGCTATTTTAAAACTGAAATAAAGCTTCTGATAATCTAATTATTTACGTGAAAATTCGCGAAGTATCAGTAAGAAGTTATGTGAATAAATGCAAATTTTACGAATATTATTCAGGCAAAACAGATTTTTTAAGCATTGAAACTAAAAAACAAAACTCGCCTTTCGGGGAGGGGGAGGAGACTGATTTTTTAAATCAAGAAATATTATACAATAAGCTATTAAGTATGAATATTCGCAATATTAAACAAAATTTAATGATTATATATAGTAATGACACGATTACAACTTGAATATGTATTCAACTGAGTAAAATATGCATTTGTTTATCCATTTTCCACACTAGGTGGGGAAAAAAAAAAAAAAAAAAAAAAAAGGTGCGCCACCGATTAAATTTGATGAATTAACTTTCCACAAAAATTTTTTGCCAAGTCTGCGTCCTCACTAGCAGCAACATCTTCCAATGTACGAACACCTTTACTCAGAATTAAATACTACAATAAATTATTTAACGTTTTTATCTGAAGAATAACAGTTTGAATTGACATGTGGCGACAGTTTTTCTTACTAGAGAACAAAATGTTCGGGGCAGAGGATGAATGCACAGATGAGTATTATATCGAAATACTTTTTGCAAATGATCGTAATGATTGCCAAATTTGAAGTTATTAGCGAACATTTTCATTCAATTATTTTAGTATCGAAACTATAAAAATAGGAACAAATGGAAACGTACGGGCAAAACTAGTAAATTTATGTTATCCAAAATAATAATAATCACTAAGGGAAGAAGACCGCAAATGAACTCTTAGCATCATGTTCTCAGGTTACGCACACAGACCATATGGTAACGTAACCAAGGCCAAAGTGTTGCGCAACAGCCAACATTACAAAAACAACACTTTTTGAAATACAACTAATAACAATTCAAATTACTAATTACTTATGAATAAAAATTCAAAAAACATATAGATGGTTTGTTAATTTTTGTACAAGAAAACATGAAAAAAACTGCTCTGGAAGATAGCCAGAAACGTTCATAATATACTATAAATGTTTGATGAGGCATACACGCCTAAAAACATGGTTAAAACATAATGACTTCCGTCGCTAAAATTATACTAAGGGCAATTGTTTTACAAAACATCATCATTTACAACTACTTCAGTACATTAAAATAAGAACATAAAATTTAAATTGCTTGAATAATATACCGAAAAAATTCGATAAAATATAATTACATGTACAATATTTGGAGTTATGACCGCGATAAATGCAAAACATTTTTACTGTACTGTTACTTTCGTAACTACCAACGTACTTACTCCGACGACTTTCATGAAGTACTTTGTCGCCATGATCGATTCCTCTTTCACCAAAAATGGCTGACGATAATCATTCACAGTCAGCCATATTTAGATAAATATAATCGTTAATTCATCAATAAATAACTACTTATTTATATCCCCTTAAACAACGGGTAATTTCAACTTTCAAATTAATTAACAAATAAACTTATCCTGATTTTCGGAATACACATGCAAAAGTTATATTTTATAATGATACTTAGAAAAGACTTATTTAAAATACTACCAATTTCACGAACCATTTACATAAGCATTAGCAGCTTAGTCTCCTTCTTTTTTTTCTGTTTAATGTAAATTAAACCTCAACCCGCCCGATAAAAAAGAAATTACCAAGGTGATAGTTTAAATAAAGCTTGTTGGGATTTTGTTTGATACTCGACCTTTTTGTATCTCCGTCAATCTTTGTGTCTTTGTTTGCATCCCCTACCAAAGGTGGGGAAACCTCGCTCTGTAACGCCATTCCCCTGGGTCTAATGTAGTGGATTTAGATAACTAGAAGTTATGGCTAAATATAAAATTTTAAACCATGCCACATAGATCCAATTTCTTCGTACACAATTACACAAACTATAGAATGCGTCTTTCTCCAGCAATGGCGGTCCATAGAATACGCTTATGACGTCACCTTCGCTGACCTGGCGTATCTGCAATCGTAATCTTAGTCTTCTGATTGGTTCAAAAATTATGAGAAAAATATTATTTCTTTTAATCAATGAATTCTTATACAAATGTATATTTAAAACTTTTAAAAATATTTTCTAAACTATAATATTAACAAATTTTTTTTTATTTACGCTTGTAAATTTTTATAATAATTAGGACAGGCACGGGTAAAAAACATGGCGGCTGAATGTGCAGTAATTCAGTAGTGAAACGTTGTAACTGCAGCTGAAGCCGAAGGTAAGTTGATAAGAAATGTTTGAAATTTTGATTATTTACATTTGCTTATTTGTTCGTTATTAATTCCCTGCTTTTCGCAGACCAACAACACTGTGCAGTAAATATATATTGATAATTTATTATTGTAATTAATTTATTTATAAATTCAAAATTGTTTTATTCTAGTACTGACAGCGTAATGAATTCTGATTAGACTTCATTCAGAGTATTATTTTTTAAAAAACTTTATTGTATTTTAAAATTTAGATTGACTGAAATGAAAAGTTCTTTAAATATATCGTATTATTTTTGTATGTTTATTGAAAGCTGAAGAAAGAAATAAAATACGTTTTACAATTTATTTACCCCCTGAGAGCCAGTTTCCGGTGAAAGTCCTCGACAAAGGCATCCCTCCCTCGAGGCTTTGCCATAATCAAATAAACCGAACCATCTCCACTGATCGATTTGGAGCAGTAGCCAAAAAACTTTCATTTCGGTCTGAGGGTCTGAATGGAGTAATCACCAGAGTAGTCTGTTATGGGACACAATCTCTTTCCAAACTGATTGTAAAAATTATAATTGTTCACAGTTCTGAATGATTCAGGTCTAAAATATTAAATTTCAATTTAGTTGATTACTGTGTTAGTTTACAGCATGGTGTTAGTTCAAATGCTTGGGAGATATGCGTGCAGGTTCGTTATAAAACACATGGTACTCTTCCATTATTGGGACCAGGTATGTTTATGTTTACATACGAATGTAACGTGTATGCAGATACACATTTTCATTATAAGGGCACAGCCCTGATCCTCCTAGCCGGCATAAGCTGGATATGCACATGCATGCATATATTTCTGAATCTGGTCCTGATAACAGAAGAGTACCAAACACACTTGATTCTTTGTACAATTCACCAAAAACCAATTATGGCCAAAGAACATGCCTGTTATTTTTTCTTCAAGTGAAAAG